GAATCCGACTGCGGGTCTCTCCTTGCAGCGGCGCAGCGTGAGAGGAGTACTTGCTGCAGCCACCCAGGCACCATGGCAGGACAGACATTTTGAAAGTTTCTTCCCCTCTTTGACCAAGTCTTGGTGGAAAGGAGTGCCGCTGAAACTATAACCAAAGGAGGCATTATGCTTCCAGAAAAATCTCAAGGAAAAGCCCTGTAAGCAACAGGAAAGGGTAGAGAGATTAAACCAGTGAGTATGAAAGTTGGAGATAAAGTTCTTCTCTCTGAATATGGAGGCACCAAAGTAGTTCTAGATGATTTGGATTATTTCTTAGTTCGAGATGGTGACATTCTTGGGAAGTATTTGAACTTGAGTAAACCTTTACACTGTTGAAATGGCATCATGTGAAGCTGCCCATTCCACTGAAGTTCTGAAATCTGTCATCATGTAAATAATCTCCATGTCTCTCTTTTATAATAAACTCATGATATGCAGTGGCAAGAAAAAGAAAATACCGTGGTTTGTAACATCCTTGCTTTTCAATACTTTAAGAGGTTTTATGCTGCAGATTTACCCAATGCAATGCCTCATTTGACCTCTTGACTACTGCTTCCATGGGCATTGATTGTGGATCCAAGCAAGATAAAAATATTATCATGAAATGTGTACAGCCTTAGAGTTAGAAAACAAACCTAAAAGGAAGAACGCACTCAGCTTATCTTAAACTGAAAGAATTCTGGAAAAAATTCAAGCCTCGAGTTGCAATCTTGAAAAATTCTATGGGCAAAATATTGAAAATATTAAATGATACAGAACTAGCCAAAGAAGACAAAGAAGATAGACAGAATACACAGAGTCACTGTACCAAAAAAGAACCGGTTGACATTTCAGCACGCGGGAGGCAGCGTAGGAGCAAGAAACACTGGTACTAAGGAAGGACTTCGTTGAAGCTCCCTCCACTGAAAGCACTAGCTGAAAACAAGCTTCCGGGAATTGATGGAATACCAATTGGAATGTCGCAACAAGCCCATGAAGTACTAGCAACATTCACTTGTGTGAATTAGTGAGCTTTAAAACTCACTCTAGTGGCACAGTGTGTAAGTGCCCGGGTGCTAACCTAAAGTTTGGTATTTGGCAATCTGCTCTCGTAAAGTTTACAGCCTAGAAAACTCTGAGGCAGCTCTGTTCTGTCTTATGGCAGTACCGAGTCCAAAATCGACCCACCAGCACCTATCAGTCACAGTGAGTTTTATGGCCCTGTTTTTCTACAAACTGTGATAGAGGCAGTTCTACCCTGCCCGCTAGGGTCACTATGAGCTGCGTCCACTCGATGGCAGTGCGTTCTGAGAGTCTGCCATCAGCAAGCAGGCATAAGTTTACATCTTTGACTAAAAAGGAATGAGGGGTGAACAAAAACAAGCATTTCTTGCAAAGCTTGGGAAGCTGTCGTTCTTAGCTTTCCTTTAGGAAGAATAATCCAGGCTATCCACATGTGTTCTGGGGCTTTCCATTTTTTACATAAATATGTAGATATCAATGCCGTCAAGTTGATTTTGCCGCACAAAGACCCAACAGTACAGGGTAGGACTGCCCCTGTGAGTTTCGGGGGCTGTAATTCTTTATGGGCATTGAAAGCCTGTCTTTCTCTTGTGGATGGCTGGTGGTTTTGAGCTGCTGACCCAATGGTTGGCTACCCAGTGGGTAACCCACTGTGCCACCGGGCTCTTGCATTGCCCACACTGAGGTTCCTGTTTAATCTTTCAAATTGCTCCTATCAGTTTGATCCCCATATAGACGGTGGTCAAGGCAGATCTTTTTTACTTTTTTTTGACTTAAACTGCTGCTTGGATTTCAGATGACCTCAGGGATTATTTTTGGTTCACAGTGTGAAGATTATTTGAAAGCTGTGTATATCTTCCTAATGCCCCTTTTAAAAAAAGATCTGTATGCTAGTGATTTATCAATGCGTTACTGGCTGGGATAATTCGAGGCATTCAATAATTGCTATTACATGTCTGAGCACTAAGTGGATGCCGGTCTTGACACTGAGGCAGGATCCACCCTCTAAGCCTCCCGCTGTGCCCCGCACTGGTCCTTCAGTTGCTGGGACCTGCAGAGATCTGGGGGTTTACAACTGCCTGGTCAGAAGTATTTTAATTTTAACGATGGTGTTGAAATGCATTCTGGCCTACTTCTTGGTTGTTCCTGAGGGATCTTGGATCAGTTTCTGGTTCCAAGTTAATGAGAATCTACCTTGGAAACGGTAGAGGAGTTTCTATTTACTGACTTGTGCATGCTTTTTAAGATAATGAAAGCTTTATTCAAACTTTTAAAAGGATTTAAAATTCAATTCAGGAAAAGACTACAGAAACGAATATTCCTGAACTTAAAAATGGCTTCTCTGCCTTGTGGGGGGAAAGGACCCCAGTCCTGTGGAAATGAAGATGGCTCACTGGTTGTGTTTGGCTTTTTTTTCCCTACGTAAGCGCTTTCACCTCTCACCCTCCTTTTAAAATCATAATTGTGCTGTGGTGGAAATTTTGACCATAGCCTTATTCAAGTGTAGTGAGATTTTCTGAATCGATTTCTTCCCTTCTGCAGGCTTTCTTACTTAATTCCTGATCTTATTATGTATTGTACTCTCCGGACCTAGAAATTATTCCTTGCTCTTGAACTTTATTTTAAGAAGGGAGGCTCCTCCTCCCCATTCTCTCCACCTTCATTTTCAACATCATTCAGTCACTCAATAATTTGTTTAATAAATTCATTAAACAATGAATTGACTATTTACTGTGTAGCATGAACTCTGGGTGCTCTTGCTGTTGTTGCACCCCATCTCCAGCTGTCTTCTCTGTTACTGCTTCTACCAGTCTCGTTCCATGCCTTCCCTTCAGCCTGGTGGGAGGGCAAAACTGACCAATCCCTTTATTAGGATTCCATATACCTTGTTTGCACAGCCCCACTCCTACAAGTGTTCCATGTGCCTTATTTGCATTGGTAACATGTGGTCCAGTCTCCTTGGTAGGTCACAAGTACTTTGCATAGTTTGTCCGTTCACCTGGGTTGCAGGTGGTTTAGGGCTGTATTAAGTAATTCACTGCACTGCTATACGTATATGTTTATTATAGCTATGTGTCACTTACAATTGATATATTCTTTGAAGTGGAACATTATGCTATTTGACTGTTGTGCAAACATATAGAGGCATATTATATATAGATACATACAATCTATACATAAATGCTCACTAATCTTATATTAAAATCTTCTGGGAATCCTAGATGCTGTATCCAATAGCTATAGGAGGCCAGCCTTGCAGGATGTGCTGAGGAGGGGTACATGAGCGGGGCATGAAGAGGTGGCTTCAGGAACCTGACAGGGAGTTGGTTGTGGCTCCAGGTGCACTGTTGGCATTGGTGGCCCGCCTAATACAGCTGCTTCCTGGTTCTGTGCAGCTGCTGCCACCTGGAGCTTGGTGGGCCTAGCCACCACCACCACTACCACAGCAGTTGCAGAGGAGCTGTGCTGGAGAGAACGGCTGCAGGGGATGTTGGGAGGATGTTTGGTGGGTGAATGAATCCTGGAGGGACGAAGGAAAGGTGAAGACGGTGGCAATGTGGGGTTTGGGATGTGCCCTTGAGTTCTGATGATTTTTCTGTCTGGAGTCTTTAAAACCATTTGGGGGAAATGGGGAAAAAAAAAAAAAAAAAGGAAAGCCGCTTTCCCCTTTAAAGAAAAAGCCTGATGGGACGTGGATGTAGAAGCCAGGGGCCTGTGCCTCGACGGAGTTGACGCATGCCTGTATGCGTTACAGATTCCCAAAGGACGTACTGGAAACGGTTCAATGTGATTACTTTGGGAAGTAGATCTCAGTCATCAATGAGAGCGGATCTCTTTGACTGTACATTCTTCTTTGCTTGATTGTTGTTAGTGTTGTTGCTGCCCTTACTTGCTGTGGTGTCAGCCCTGCCGCTGAGTGACCTTATGTTGAACAGGGTCGCTGAGGCTATTGTTGAAGCTATTGTGTCACTCAGTCTCACTGGGTTTCCCTGTTTTGTTTTCTTCTGTCGGCCCTCGACTTTCCCAGCCATAATGATTTGTTCTAAACGGATTTGCTTGTTGTTCTGGCAGCCCATGGTATATTCAGTAATCTTCCTCAATGCCACAGTTTTGTTTCCATACTCGTTACAGTAGGTATATTATTGTTATTGTAGTTATTAAAAGCTCATAAAAGATCTGAACTACTTCCAAGCTGGGTATAAGTTACCTGTTGCTGCATAACAAAACCGCCTCAAACTTAGCAATTTAAAGCAACACATTTAGTTTGGGGCCTCTAAGGAACAGGAGTTGAGGAGCAGCTTAGCTGGGTGGTTTTGGCTCCTGGTCCCTCAGGAGATTGTACTTAAGCCATCAGCTGAGGCTGTAATAAAGTCCCGTCTCTACCGAGTTCAGATATTCTGCTTCTAAGCTCATGCTTGTGATTGTTGGCAGGCAGCGAGTGCTGTCTCTCTCCAGCACAGGTCAGAGCATTCAGATCCCGGATACTGGGCTGCTTCCCCCCACTAAGTGATCTGAGATGAGAGTAAGCCAGAGTCCAAACCAACGCTGACATGAAATCCTGCGTGTGAAATGCCCAGTGCTCACCGTGCACTAGTGGTCAAGTAGACCTATCCTCGGGTAGTGTGGGATAGGACTGCCAGCGGTGTAGGAGAGTTGTGGCAATACTGCAGCGGGCCTATGATAATATGCAGGTTAATGGAACGTTCCATTATCTTTCTATCTCATTTCCCCATGAACATTTGTGTGTCCTTTGTAGCAATTTAGGCTTATGGGGAAAACCATTTACTTGGCTCAATATTCAAATAGAAAAATTTACTTAAAAATTACTCCATGAAAAAAAAGTACTTGATGATTCTGTTTTATCCTCCCTGTGGTGTTTTTTTATGACACATGTTTGAGTTATCGCCTGACCAATTCCTGTAAATATTCTTATTTCTTTTTCTTTTTCAGGCCCAGCACAGAATCAGATGCATCCTTCATCTGGGTATAGATTACATCCTCAAAACTACATTGCTGCCTCAGGACATTACTCTCAAGGACCTGGGAAAATGACCTCATTGCCGCCGGAGAGCCAGTGTGGGGATTACTACTCTGGTCTCTATCCAGTACCAACACACAGCCCGACTCCCAGCACAGTGAGCCAACCACCCGCAGCACAGCAGCTGTACAGCAGGGGCCCTCTGCCCCCTCAGATGATGGGATCCTCCCCAGGATCTTTCCAAGGTGCTGCGCCATCAGCATCTCATTTGCATACGAGTGCCTCCCAGCCATACTCCTTTGTGAATCACTGCAGTAATCCAGCGGTTTACTCTGCCAACTCTTCTGTTGCTTCTCAGGGATTTCCCCCGACTTGTGGTCATTATGCCATGTCAACTGTTTCCAATGCTGCGTATCCTAGTGTTTCCTACCCCTCTCTGCCTGCTGGGGATCCCTATGGGCAAATGCTTACCTCACAGAATACGCCTATTTTCAGGCCAGTTAAAGATAATTCATTTTCTGGTCAAAGTACACCTATCAGTCATCCATCGCCTCTTCCACCTCCGCCATCGCAGCAGCAGCAGCAGCAGCAGCAACAAAGTCTTTCAGGATACAGTAATCCATTGTGGTCAGCTCCAGGCCTTCAGTCAACCCAAGACAATCTCAACCGAAACCACACTGCATCCCCAGCTACAGCCAGCAACAACCCAGTGCATACTGGTAGGTGGAATGAAAAGTTTACCCAAGTATGGTTGAACACCAAGTGCATTTCCAGCTATTATTTGCACGAATGCTAAAAATAACATTGCTTGTAGAACAATTGGAAAGTGGCTGCCTTTGCAATTTATTTCTTTATGACACGGTATCTCCCTGAATCTCTCCCTCTACCCTAAACGTAATTAACCATCCAGCGATTAACCCCCTCTAGTCTGGTTCCTCACCGTGACTGGAATCTCACTGGATGCTTAGTGATCTGGTCTATTCCTCTACAGCCATTGTCTGCCTGAAACTGAGTGAGGCTTTGTGAAAAGAGGAGGATCCACAAGGGGCTGTGCTCTGTAGGCCTGTACTTGTTCTACTCCTCCAGCCTGAGAGAGTGTTCTCCTCACAGCGCCCTGAGCACTGGTGTAGGTGGCGCTGCGCCGGTTTCCTTCAGCTAGTCCCTTAGAGACTGTCCAGGAAGGTATATTTACGGCATATAAAACTGGGGTTTTCTCATTCCCAAATGTGCAAGGTGGGGCAAAGGATAAGGGGGGGGGAAGGACGAACAAGCCGATATATGGTTAAGCTTATGAGTTCAAAAGGGGCCTTTTTAATGTGGGGTTTCTATAGGCTGGGCTCCCTTTTCATTCAACTTGTGGACTTTAACACATTCTGCTCTCTGACTGAATGAAACTGGTAGAGAATTAGTAAGACCGATGTTTCAAACAAAGGGGGCTTTTTTCTTACACAACAAGAAGTGTGGACTTTGGGTCCAGATAACTTGTCCTTATCATTCTTTTTCTCTTTTCTCCTCGCTATCCTTAGCATGTTGGTGCTTTGAAACAAGATAAATTACGTACCTATAGGCATCGCATCAAAGTTAAAACCAGAAAGGGTAGCAGGAGCAAGAAGAGGGAAGTGGGATAGACAAATTTCCTTGTATATATCATTTGCCATTTCATTGCTGCCCAGTGGATTCCAACCCCTAGCAGCCCTCTGAGGGTGAGCAAAACCACGTTGTTGGGTTTCCAAGGCGACGGTCTGTTCAGAAGCAGCTTGCCTGCCACAGCTTTCTCTCCTGGAGCAGCTGATGGGTTCGAACGGCTGACCTTTCCATCAGCAGCCAGACATTTAGCTGGAGCCTGATCATTTGACCTGTTTGAAAAGGCTAGAAAGGTAGTCCTTTGCTTGATAAACCCCCATAGTCGAGGAAGCACGGAGGAGGTTGGCATTGACTGGCTAAGGGTCTTGTCGCGGTCCCCAGGGTGGCAGTGACCATGGTCACACACACAGATTGCAGTCTTCAGCCCAGGCCAAGGAGCCAGAGTCTCGCAGAATAGTCCTGGCAATCTGTATTGTTTATTTCTGCCCAGGTCTCAAGTGATGCTTTGTAACAGAACCGAACTTTATTCTAGTCTTTTTGTCTTCCACATTGGGCGATAGAGAGCAGAAGCAATCTAAATTGAGTTAAGACATAGTGTCACCTAATCCTTGACTGCCATTGAGTTGATTCTGACCCTTAGTGACTCGGCAGCCTCGGTCTTGTCCCTTTAGATTTTCCTAAGTTCCCCAAACTCAAAGACCATCCATGAAGGATGACAAAGCTACCAATTTGATGTGATGTAAATTGGAGAGTACAGAGTTCTTTGGTAAAGGTTAGAGAAATGGAAATACCGCCTTAAGAAATTACATAGACCTAGTTGGAGGATATGCCAAAAAACAATAACATCACATGTTGTCCTTTTTGTTTAATACGTTTGTGTGATTTTATGGGCAACACTGTCTTCATTTATCCTTGTGTACCGTGTAAGAGGAATCCAGTTCCAAGTAACAAGTTAGGAGCGAGCTGAATTTTCAAAGAACAGCAAAGGATTTAGTCTTGAATCATAGCTTCTGTCTCCAAGTTCACATAAATGAAGCCACTGTACAGTAGTTCTTATATGCATAGTGTCCGTTTGATGCTGTTTCTTCTCCTGTATTCCTATTGTGAGAGGGGCAATTTTTTTCTTGGTTGGTGCCCTAGGCTGGTTCTGTCAAAAACAAAACCACCATGCTAACTAAACCATTGGTTTATGTTGTACAGTGAACCCTCGTTTATCGCGGTTAATTGGTTCTAGACCCTACCGTGATAAATGAAATTC